TTCCGTGCGAGCGGGCTCGCTGATCCCGATAGCCGTTGGAATTCCAATTTTTAGGTGGGACCCCCTAGGGGCCGGGCCACAGGGGAGGTCCCTTCCGCGCGAGCGGGCTCGCATGGAATGCCCCTGAGGGTCATTCCGTTCGAGCGGGCTCGCTGATTCCGATAGCCGTTGGAATTACAATTTTTAGGTGGGATGTGTGTGTGTGTGTGTGCTGTGTGTGCGTGTGTGTGTGTGTGTGTGTGTGTGTTTGTATGGGTGAGTGGTCCGCGGCCGTCCAGAGAAAACAAGAACCCCACTTAGGATGTGGGGAAAATATTCGAAAAACTACACCCAAAAAGTAAACCATATGCAAAAATAGTCCCCAGACTATGTTTGGATTTTTGTTTTGATTATTTTTGGAGTATTTGTGATTTTTCATCGAAAATCCTCCTGTAGGGGACACGCCCGACTTAAGCCAAAGGGGGCCCGTGCTCCCTGGGCACCCCGCATCGCGTGTTCGACGTAGATGGCTGCATACCTCAGCCGTCAGGCCCAAAAGGCCCAAAACGTCAGGCCCAAAACGTCAGGGCCCAAACGGATGGCATGCAACGTCAGGCCCAAAAGGTCCCGGTGTTCCCTGTGTGTTGCCAGGGCGTTGGAGTGAGAGCCACTTTTGGCTCAGGATGGGCTCAGGGTTTCGCGCCGTTGCTTAGATCCAGATCGTAGAAGTTATTCTTGGTTGAGGCTCGCCGTGGCCAGAGGCGCCTCTTCGTGCCTTATTCGGCCTTCCGTCCCTTAACACGATGACTCCCGAGTTTTCGGGTAGGGATCGCTCGAAGTCATATCGACGTAATTCGGCAGTCTGCGAGGCTCCAAAGGAGCCCGCCGCAGTTACCGCTTTATGTTAACACATTGCACAATGAGCCCGCCGCAGGCGCTACATTTTTGTCAGAGCAATGAGGATGGGTCGCGGGAGGGTCGCGGGTGCGTCGCGGGTGGGTCTCGTGGTGGATCGCGGGGCGGGTCGCGGGCGGGAATCGCGGGCGGGGACGACGACAACAACAATAATCATTTTGATGTTGTTCGTTCTTATCTGCTCGCGGGCCATTCAACTCGTGTCTTCCAAACCCTCGATACCTGCCCTCTGCGTCTTCGATCGTACCCCCTTTGGGGTATTTATTCTTCTTACCTGCAATTTGTATGTCGTGCAGCCCCTAAGGCACGGGGAGAGAAGACGGATGGAAGGAAGGGACAAGCGGGAGGGAGGAGGATGGAGCACGAACGAGAAAAGCAGGAGGGGGTTAGGAGTAAAAGTAACATGGCAGAGCCAGACGGGCAGATCGGGCGGGTAGACCCTGACGGGCGGGTCGGGGAGGCGGGCCCAGGCGGCCAGGTCGAGCAGGCGGGTTGCTGAAGCGTTCGTCCCGCATGAATCGCGAGGAAGTCTCGAGCGATAGCGCGATTCCCAAATCAATCGTGAAGAAATCCGCAGCGAGAGCGTGATTCCCGAGTGTCGAGGACGCGGTGTTTGGATAACTTGTGGGGAAGTCCCACGCGAGAGCGCGATTCTGGTATAACTTGTGAGAGAGTCCTGCGCAAGAGCGCGATTTTCAAAGAAGTTATGAGGAAATATCAGACAGGAGCCACTGCTGTTGCAATGTTCGGGCAAGGGGCCAGTTTGGTGTCTCCTTATGTCTTATGAGAAGAAAAAGCAGGGTGCGAGCCCCGGGAGAAGCATTTCAATTGAACAAACACAATGTGCCCTGCAGAGGACATCGCCAATACTTATTTTGCAGAAGTGAGAATTCAACAACAGCACCAAAAGCAGCAACAACAACAATCATTTTAACACTGGTCGACCTTGTCTGCTTGCGGGCTATTCAACGTATATTCCAAACCCTCGATACCCGCCCTTTTCGTCTTCGGTCGTACCCACCGTGTATCCGTGCAGCCCTCACGGCACGAAAAAAGAGGACGGATCGAAGGAAGCGACAAGGGGGAGTGAGGAGGATGGAGCACGAGCGAGAATAGCAGGAGGGGGGCTGGGAACAGAAAGCACGTGGCAGAGTCAGACGGGCAGATCGGGCGGGTAGACCCTATCGGGCGGGCCGGGAAGGCGGGCCCAGGCGGACAGGTCGAGCAGGCGGGTTGCTGAAGCGTGCGTCCCGCATGAATTTCGAGGAAGTTTCGAGCGATAGCGCGATTACCAAATCAATCGCAAGGAAGTCCATAGGTAGAGCGTGATTCCTGAGTGTCGAGGGCGTGGCGTTTGAATGACTTGTGAGGACGTCCCACGCGAGAGTGCGATTCTTTTATACAATGTGAGGACGTGCCGCGAGAGCGCGATTAGGGAAAATCATCTGTGAGGAAGCATCCGGCGGGAACCGTTGTTGTTGTAATTCGGGAGAACAGCGCAGTTCGGTGACCTCTCGCTTTTTTTTTTTGTGTGCGTGTGTGTGTTTGAAAAACCGGGTTCGAGCCCCAGGAACAGCATTTTAGTTGCAAAAGATCAAAGGTTACTGGGCAAGGGGGCAACACTAGTTATTCTTACGAAGTGGGAATTCAACAACATCAGTAACAACAGCAATCATGTTGAGTGATGGGACCGAACGGTGATTCACTGTCCCAGGGCGCGTTGTTGAAGCAGGTTTCCGCGGTGCGGATTGTAAATGCTCCTCCCTGGGCTCGCGTCCGGTTCTCATTAGGGAATCGATTGGTCCTCATATTGGGTTGTTGGGTCCCGAACTACAGCGGGAACGGCTCCGCGTTCTATGTCCTTACAAGGTATTTCAAATTCGCGCTCTCGCGCGGGACCTTCTGAGAGTTTATGCTGGAATCGCGCTCTCGCGTGGCATTTCCTTCACAATATATTGCGGCGCCGTGCCTCCGAAATTCAAGAATCACGCTCTCGCCTTCGATGTCCTCACGATTTATTTGGGAATAGTGCTATCGCTCGAAACTTCATTACGATTCATGTTGGATCGACGCTTCAGCGACCCGCCCGCTTGACCCGGCCGTCCAGGCCCGCCCGCCCGATTTGCGCGTTAGGGGCCGCCCGACCGACCGCCCGTTTGGTTCTGCTGCTTGTACTCCTGCTCCTAGCACTTCTCCTGCAAATTTCCCTCGTGTTCCATCCTTCTCTCTCCCACTTGTCTCTTTCCCCCCCTTCCTTTCCCCGTTTTAGCGGCTGCGCCAACTGCGCGCGGCAGGTAGGGAAGATATACCCCCAAGGGGGGCCCGATCGGAGACGAAGAGGGCGGGTATCGAGGGTTTGGGATACACGTGTTGAATGGCACGCAAGGTGATAAGAGTGAGCAGTCTTAAACTGATTGTTTGCGTTGTCGTCGTCCTCGCCCGCAACCCAGCCGCGACCCACCTGCGTCCCACCCGCGACCCACCACGCGAATCCACCACGCGACCCATCCCACGACCCACCCGCGACCCTCCCGCGACCCACCCACATTGCTCCGACGAGAATTTGGCGCCTGCGGCGGGCCCTGTGCGTGTGATGTGGAAACAGCAATGTCGCCTCCGACGGTCTTTTCAGAGCCTCGCAGGCTGCCGACGGCCCCGCCGCCCCCTCACTCTCACCGGCAACTGCGGGGTGCTGCGTACTACTTCGAGCGATCCCCACCCGAGAAGGCGAGGCGGGATGCAGTCATCGTGCTGCAGGAAGGAATGCCGAGCAAGGAACGAAAAGGCTCCTCTGGCAACGGCGAGCCTCGAATGATGATGGACTCTGCGATCGAGATCTGAGGCACGGCCCGAGCCCGCCCTGAGCCAAGAGTGGTTTTGGTGTCTGCCTCGCAGATTGCAGCCGACCCCGCCGCCCCCCCCACTCTGATCCGCAACTCTGGGGGGGCTGCGGTTCTTGTCGTGGGGGGGGGGGGGGATGGACGGGCAGGCGGGCCCGCGCACCTCTCTCCTTTCATTCGTCCGTCCTGGACCTTCCCTCAGAGGAGGAAAAGGTACCCATACCTCTACCCTTCGCCCCTTTTCCACCTTTTGGGGCCTCCTGGGAGGCCCTCGTCGCCACCGTTGGATTCGCTTCGAAATTCTGGTCAGAACGCACCCCAGGAGAGGTCCGGGGAGTAGCGGTATCGGTACCTTTTGGCTCCCCCCAAGCTCGGGACAGCGCCGACCGGTGGCATCGCAGTCAGGGCGTGTTTTTGTCGGTGCGCCCAGCATTCCGCCCTCGGTCGAGAGTTCGACATCGTCTGGCCGATCCCCAACCCTACCGGGCCAGGGTACGGTCGGATCGAGGCATAAGGTCGAGGTCGGTTCGGGGACGTGCTTGTTGGATGCTCTCGTGCATCCTTTTCGGGTACCCTTGGCTGTTCTGTGTGTTTTGGCCGGCGGAGGGTCTCACGCTCCTGAAGGATCTTCTTCTGTTCTAGGTCCGACTGTACCTCAGCCCCACCAGGCCCCCTTCCCAAAGGTGGGGATGGGTTGTGCGACGCCTGAACAGAACACTACATATTCCTACATGGGGGGGTAAGGCGGCCAGAGAGGCTGCGCCTGCGGCTCCGTCTCACTCGGGGGGCAAGGGCGAGGAGGGTCCTGCGGCAGGGTTGCCTGCCGACTCCCCTGGACGGTTTGAGTGTGGTCGTGCTGTCCCCCACCGACCGCCGTACAGCGGGACCGGGGAGGATGCCCTAGTGTGCTTCGTGCTTGTTGGATGTTCTTGTGCATCCTGAGGAGGGTACCCTTGGATGTTCTGTTTGTCTTGGCCAACGTAGGCTCATGTTGTTGAAGGATGTTCTTCCGGCCCAGATCCGACTGTACTTCTTCTCCCAAGGTGTGTTGGGGAAAAGTAAACGAAACAAGCAAGTTGCGCATCAGGGTCCTGCGCATGAGGGGATGGTCCCGTCTTGACGAGGCTTTTCTCCACGGTGTGGGGGGGGGCACGTCGGATGGCCGCGCAGGTCTTCGAGCTCTGTCGACCGTGTCTGGGCTGGCCATGTCCTGAGCGTGTGCGCTGCTGCCGGTCGCCCAAGTATCGGGCGTTGGTACGGCAGGAGATGACGCACGATCTGGAGATGAACTTCAACAAGCGTGCGCCCCAGTGCGGCCGAGATCGTAAGAGTTGGTCTGCCAGGCAGCGTGCTGATGAACACACCTCGCAACGCTACCGATTCCACGTGTCGATATGTATTCTGGCAAGCCGTGCCCCCGGCGCAGAAACATGTTTGCAGGTTGGGTCTGGTGTCGCAGGGCGAGAGAACACGGTAGCCACACTTCCCACAGCGCGTGGGCAGTGGTGGTTAATTTTCCAGTGCAGGTAGCTGCGCACACCCTGCATCTTCGTCCGCTGGATATTGCGTCTAGGTCACCGCCAGGGGCGCAAAGATAGCCGCGCTTCACCCACAGCGGCTTGGGGTGGAGAAGAGCCCTTCTCCAGGGCGGCACAAGGGGCAAACGTCGCGCGAAAACGAGCATGTGGGGCGCGACGTGCGAAGCGAGGCGGCCCAAATCTTAACTCAGGGATGACGTTAGGGGGGATATACGCAAGGGGGGCGGAAAGACCCCCGATCGCCCATTGATCGCCAATAAGGGGCTGGATGGCCCATCCCGCCCAGGAGCATGCGGATTGGGGGCCTAGCGCCGACCTATCGGCGATGTTTTGCCGATTCCAGGTCAGTGTTCTCCGAAGCGGGTCCCCCCCAGCGTCCCCTCTCAATTGGCAGCCGTCCTCTGCTCTGTCCATCCTCCTTGTCCTGCGTGCAGTGGACGGGGTTTCAATACGAGATGCCTGAACTTTGCGTCCTGTCGATCGGCGGGTCGACCCCTGCTCTCCTCGGATCCAGTCGATCTGGTTCGATGCCGATTTTGGTCAGCTCGGTCTGATTCGGTTCCGGCACTCCAACGATCTGGTGCGGCCCGATGCTCACATGGCGTCGTTCATGCAGTCGATTCCGGCTCCGTGCCGATGCCCGATTCGATGGTAATTGATGCTGGACTCTTTCAACACCCAAACGCTGCCTGGGCGAACACGTGAGACACTTTCAGCCAGGTTTTGGCAGGTCGTGGGCTCTTACTAGCCCTTCTATCTTATTACGGTGGGGAATTGAATTTGCATCATAACTTCATGTGTTTTCCTGGCTAGGAAAGATTTATGTTTCAGCTTTTGTGGTGTTTTCTGTGCGGGATACGCATGGCGACGTGCATGTCGGATTATCTGTCGGAATCTGACGCGACTTGTTGGAGGTGCCAGGCTCGCCTGTCTCTTCAGGTGCTCGTGCTGCTCTCGTTCCCTCGTTCGATTCAGTTTTTCGTGTTTGGTTTCTACATTTCCAAGTTGTGCATTTTTGATAGCAAGGTAAACCTTCTCATCTCCTCCCTTAGTCTCTCTGCCTACCCCCCGCTGTTCCTCCATCACCTCGCCGCCTGGCCTGCTCGCTCACGAAAGCCCCCACGGGATTGCGAACGCGCCCAATGTCATTCAGAAGAGGGCAACAGGCGCACACACAACAGCATCCCCGATGAGATCAGTCACTGCGCCAGCACCTCAAGCATTCATCGCCTGCGCAGAGTGCATCTCATCGGTCTGCTCTTGGAGCGCTGCCACGGCGATGTGGCGGAGCACCCTTCTTCCAGGCCGAGCGCAGACTTCGGACATTTCCATCAGGCAGTGGATGGTGCGACTCAGCGGCGCGCTGGCGCAATCCAGTTGGATGCGCGCTTTTCCTCCTGCCAGTACCGCTCTCGATCAAGTGCTAGAGGATATCGGGTAGCGTTTCGGGCCGTCTCAAAGAGAGCCTGCAATGCTCTCTCCCAAGTCCTCCCCCTTCCCTTCACCCCTCTCCTTCCTTCCTCCTCCGCCCCCCCAGGCTCCGCCACATCCCCCCCCCCCTCCGACGCCCCAGACCCGGTGGCACGCCTTGGGCGTCGAGCCTGAAGAAGCCGCATCCTTTGCCTTCGCAGTGGGCTTTGCCACAGGCTTCGCCGCTGGGACCGCGGCCTCGCTTCTCGGCGCCGCCGCCTGCCCCCAGGCAGGCCGCGGCTGGCGGGGAAACAGAAAGACAGTCGAGTCCACAAAAAGGAGAAGGCTACTTTCATCGCTTCAAACACAACAGGCCCTCGATCCGTAGGCGAGGTGCGTCGACGACGAAGACGGCTTTCTCAGCGCGCAAGACGGCGCGCTAAGCGGCGGGCTAAACGGCGCGTTAGGCGGCGCGCTGAACGACACGCTAAACGGCGCGCTAAATGGCGCACTCAGTGGCGCGCTGAATTGCGCAGTTGGCGCGCTAAATGGTGCTCTCAACGGCGCGCTGAATGCCGCGCTCATTCTGCGCTGTTTCGCAATCGTGGTCGCGCCATGCCATTCGGCGGGTGCCCAAAAACCGTCCCTCGCTAAGTTGCCGGCTAAATGTGCTGTGAAATTTGAATTATGAACCAAGGTGTAATTTTAACATCGCATTCCGCCCATAATGTAGTGCGCTTGCAAGCCTTACCTTCAACGTCGCCTCGCGCCAGGCTGGCGGAAACTCAGACACAGGATTGTCCAGGGCACGCTCGAGCCTAAGTGGAAGCTCGGTGCCGATTCTGGCAGAACGGGCCTGGAAGTGCGGCAGCCTACGCAAACCATGCGCGAGCCCCGGGCAAGCTCGCGGCACACGGCCGCGCAAACGGGCGCGCTGAGGAGGCGCGCCGAAGCAGCGCGCCAAATGGCGCGCCAGACGGCGCGCGAAGGGCGCCCCGAGCGGCGCGCGACATAGGCTGCGCGAAACGGCGCGCCGAGCCGCGCACTCGTCGGCTCGCCTTCTCAGGGCGCCGCCGCGCGACCGCTCGAGCTACCCGTGGGCGCGCCGCGCCCCTTCCGCGCGCGTGTCCCCCGAGCAGGCGGGCGTCCGTGCATAGGATCTGCCTCTTTGCCGCCACCAGGCCCTCGGCAGGCCGTCGTCGCCCTCCAGAAAAATGGCAGGCGGCAGAACCCTATGACAGGCCCTCTTCAGATCCTGGCGGGCCAGGGGCGCCCCGGGACAATCCTGCACCCGAGGGGAACCCCAGTCAGCATCAAGAACGCACTCGGCGACCCCCTCCCCGCCCCCAGGAGCGACCCATGCACACTCCAAGGGAGCAACGAGTCGTAGGCAATTGCGGCGCCAGAGAGTCCCTGAAGACGCTTTCCGAGAAATTCGAGGCGAACCCGCGAAAAACCGCGAGGCGGAACCTTTCGCCGACGAGTGACTTGCCTGTGTGATAATGGCAGTTTCTACGCCCGTGTGATAATGGCAGTTTCTACATACATTCAGAAGGCTAGAGACCTCTGCGTCGCACTGTCTGCCTGGGTACGTCGGTCGCATTTCGCGGCGGGCGTGCCTGCGGGAGCGAAGGAGAAGGTGAGGAGGAGGAGGCGGTGGAGGAGGATGTGGTGGAGGACGAGGAGGGGCAGAATCAAAAGGATAATGGGAACGGATGGGGGCGCGGAGGAGGAGTGAGTGGAACAGGGAGAGGAGTGAGTGCAAGGGGAGGGGGGGGCGGTCGTGTTGCCCCCGTAGGTTCGCAGTTTTGTTCCTCATATCCAAAGTGGGGTTCTTGCTTTCTCTGGACACCCTCCGCGCAGGAACCTCCCTCCCACTCTCCGCCTCACTCACGCATTCACCCCGTCATCGGTCATCATCACCATTTGTCATCATCATCATCATCATCATCACCACCACCATCATCATCATCATACTCAGTCACTCACCATCGATCACCATCACCATCGGCGATCGATCGATCATCATCATCATCATCATCATCATCATCATCATCATCATCATCATCATCATCATCATCATCAGCATCATCATCATCATCATCATCATCATCAGCATCATCAGCATCATCAGCATCACCACCGCCGCCATCATCATCATTCTCAGTCGCACATCGCACACACTCTCGCTCATCACTCAGCATCACTTTCCTAGGGCCTGAATATGGGGGAAGTATCCGGCGGGAGGCTCGTCTGTGAGTGAATTGCGAGGAAGTTTCAGGCGGGAGCCCTCTCCATATGGTGCCTGCACTTTATGTTTTTAATCCGAGCGGGTCACCTTCGAACATGTAACTGTCGTAATTTTTGGGCTCCTGAGGCCTGAATATGGGGGAAGTATCAGGCGGGAGGCTCGTCTGTGAGTGAATTGTGAGGAAGTCTCAGGCGGGAACCCTCTCCCTATGGAGCGCGCACTTCATGTTTCTATTCCGAGCGGGTCATCCTCGAACTTGTAACTGTCGTCACTTTTGGGTTTCTGGGGCCTGAATATGGGGGAAGTAGCAGGCGGGAGGCTCGTCTGTGAGTGAATTGCGAGGCAGTCTCAGGCGGGAGCCCTCCCCTTATGGGGCCCTCATTTTTTCCCCAAACAGAGCTTGCCTCTGTAGGGGTCCTAGCGGATTCATATGGTTAGGTTAGGTGTGCCGCCGATTTTCGCTGCACGCCTGGGTGCCTGGGTGCCCCGGCGTGCCCGGGGGTGAGGTTGGCCGCCGATTTTCGCTGCACGCCTGGGTGCCCGCAGGGTGCCCGGGGGTGCCCGGGTGCCCGTGTGCCCGGGCGTGCCCGGGGGTGCTTGGGGGTGTCCTGGGGTGCCCCATAGCCCAATAGCCTTATAGTCCTACAACTCTATAGCCCTGTAGCTCTATCGCCCTATAGGTCAATAGCCCTATAGCCCTATATCCCCCCAGCCCTATAGCCCTGATTGGGGTTTTTCTCCGGTATCATAATTTTAATCCGGGCGGGTCATCCTCGAATTTGTAATTGTCGTCACTTTTCGGTTTCTGAGGCCTGAACATGGGAGAAGTATCAGGCGGGAGGCTCGTCTGTGAGTGAATTGCGAGCAGGCGGGAGCCCTCTCCCTATAGGGCCCGCACTATATGTGTTTGATCCGAGCGGGTCGTCCTCGAACCTGTAACTGTCGTCACTTTGGGGCTCCGGATGCTTGACTATGGTGGAAGTATCAGGCGGGAGGCTCGTCTGTGAGTGAATTGCGAGGCAGTCTCAGGCGGGAGCCCTCCCCCTATGGGTCCCCCGTTTCATGTTTTTAATCCGAGCGGGTCATCCTCGAACTCGTAACTGTCGTCATTTTTTGGTTTCTGAGGCCTGAATATGGAGGAAGTATCAGGCGGGAGGCTCGTCTGTGAGTGAATTGCGAGGAAGTTTCAGGCGGAAGCCTTTCCCCTATGGGGCCCCCATTCTATTTTCAATTTTAGCGGGTCATATTCGAACATCAAATCGTCGTCATTTTTGGTTTCCTGAGGCCTGAATATGGGGGAAGCATCAAGCGGGAGGCTCGCCTGTAAGTGAATTGCGAGGAAGTTTCAGGCGGGAGCCCTCTCCCTATGGGGCCCGCACTAGATGTTTTCAATCCGAGCGGGTCATCCTCGAACCTGTAACTGTCGTCTTTTTGGGGCTCCTGAGGCCTGAATAGTATCAGGCGGGAGGCTCGTCTGTGAGTGAATTGCGAGGAAGTCTCAGGCGGAAGCCCTCCCCCTATGGGGCCCGCACTTATAATTTTAATCCGAGCGGGTCGTCCTCGAACCTGTAACTGTCGTCATTTTTGGGTTCGTGAGGCCTGAATATGGGGGAAGTATCAGGCAGGAGGCTCGTCTGTGAGTGAATTGGAGGAAGTCTCAGGCGGGATCCCTCTCCCTATGGAGCGCGCACTTCATGTTTCTATTCCGAGTGGGTCATCCTCGAGCTTGTAACTGTCGTCACTTTTGGGTTTTTGAGGCCTGAACATGGGGGAAGTAGCAGGTGGGAGGCTCGTCTGTGAGTGAATTGCGAGGCAGTCTCAGGGGCAGCCCTTTCTTTAGGGGGCTCGCACTTTATTCTTGTAGTCTGAGCGAGTCATCCTCGAACTTGTAAGTGTCGTCACTTTTGGGCTCCTGAGGCCTGAATGTAGAGGAAGTATCAGGCGGGAGTCTCGTCTGTGAGTGAATCGCGAGGGCGTCTCAGGCGGGAGCTCCCTTCCTATGGGGCGCGCACTATATGTTTTGATTCCGAGCGGGTCATCCTCGAACTTGTAACTGTCGTCACTTTTGAGTTCCTGAGGCCTGAACATGGGGGAAGCATCAGGCGGGAGCCTTGTCCGTGAGTGAGCTGTGGGGAAGGCTCGGGTTTGAGCCCCTTCCTTATGGGACTTGCACGACAGCGAAGGTCACTTCCCGATTCGCCCAAAGGGATTTTCATGCGGGCTCTTTCCCTCGGAGCAGTTCGCCCTTCCCCTTGGCGCCCAAGTCAAGTCCGGTCGAGGAGCCCTACGGAGGCCCCTCGCTCCGCAAGCGGAGACGAAGGGCATGCAACACTACGGCATTGAAACGCGCATGCAAAGGAATTTGCTGATACAGCTCGGTGAAACATCAATCGCTCATCACGTGTACCACCACATGTGGCTCATAAATGAATTCTCCACTTGTTGCCAGGGGAAGCGTTGTTGGCTGCAGATCACATCAATGAGACGTGTGCCGCGCTCGTGTTGCAGAAACGCATCTACATCATCTGTCCATCGACGCCGTGGCCGACCGCGACGCCGTGGGCCGGCAGGGCGCCAGCGTAAAACTTGCGCGGGCCATTCTTGCGAATCGCTGGTGGCGAGTCGTGCCACGAGGCGCCACGTTGAACGGTCCATCACGACGAGCCAATCGGACACAGGGAAAACTTGCATAGCAACACGCACTTTTTGCTTGCACCGTCGCCCCGCTTCTTCCCAGCTCTCGCCGGGAAGCTTGCTGAAGCCGACCATCCGACGGAGCATTATTGCACGAGTTGATGCAATCGTTGATCTATGCCGTGCTGTCGTGGCGGTCGTCGAGAGACCGTAGACAGCAGCGGGCGTAACCACACCGTCGAAAAGCTTCAACCGAAGACGCAAAGATATAGATTTATTCAAAAGCACCGCTTTGTGGGAGTGAAATTTCCCCCATGCGCACTCCATGCGATAATTGACATTGCAGTCAGATCTGCATCCTAAATCGCCTCCAATTTTTTTGCCGAGGTACTTGTGGAAAACCTGGGATGTCATTACAGGCAGCTCGCAGCCGGCAAGCTGCAAAACGAGAGGCTCGTCAACGTTGGAAACGGCAACGTCGTTCGTAAAAATCCGCGTCTTGCCAGCATTTAGTGAGAGGCCGCACGCTGACACTTCTTCCGAACGAATGTCCAGCATGCGAACAACCTCTGCGGCGGAACGCGCATAAAGTAAAATGTCATCCGCATACCGCATGTTGCTAAGCAAATCGACGCCTCCAACGTCAAAGCCGCACTGCTGAGCGCGTATTTTGAACTTCCGAATTGCATGCTCTAAGCCAGCGTTGAAGAGCAGCGCTGACAAAACGTCCCCCTGCTTCACGCCACGGGTAATGTCAAACGCTGTGCTGCCATTGACGCTCCCCCACTGGGAACTGTAAATGTCTGAAAAGCCGCACGTACTCTGCGTGAACTCCTTGCTCCGACAGAGCCTGGAAAAGCACGTGATGCTCCAGCCGGTCGAAGGCTTTCGTGAGGTCAATGCTAGCGATCCACAGTGGGAGCTGCCACTCCCAAGCTTTCGTGCAGACATCCTCCAAAACGACAAAAGCGTCGTCGACGGAGCGGCCCGGTCGAAATCCTGCCTGGTCATGCGTCTGTTCTTTTTCCAGATCGGGCTGCAAGCGTGCAACAACCAGGCGAGCAAATGTCTTATATGTGATGCGTAACATTGCTATGGGCCGCCAGTTTTTCACATCATGTCTGCTGCCACTCTTCGGCAACATGATAAAACACGTTGCCTGCCAAGTGGGGTCGATGCGGCCTGTGTTGAGCAGCGAATTCAAGCACGTCAGGAGGCGTCTGTGCAGAGCATCGCCACCGCATGCAAACATTTCAACGGTGATACCGCGTTTATCTGCGCATCTGCCACGCTTCATATGCTTACAAGCTTGTCGCAACTCCTGCATGCAAAATGGCGTGATATTATACGAGCCTTTGTTGCAGTGTGCCGCTGCCCAGTCATCCCTGTCAGCGCCGCAGTCCGTGGAAAAGATCTGCTCAAGCGAGGCCTTAAACATATCACTGTCTATAGGGCAGCGTTTGCTTTGCTGCGAAGGAAACATGTGCGCCCGAGGCAAGTGTTTGATACCTTCAAACTTGGACAACATCGTAACAGCACGCACATCACAATATTCCCGCATGCGTTTACGATGCTCTTGAAAAATGAGCTTTGACAATCTGGACCGTTCTTGTGGGTCACGTGGGCCCTTGGCGCCCCCCTCCCCTCTTTCCCTGTCGCCACGACTGTGAAGGTTAAAGTTACTTCCCGACTCGCCGAGAGCATTCTCACGCGGGGCCTCTCCCTCGGAGCAGCTCGCCCTTCCCCTGGCGCCCCCCCCCTCCCCCTCCTTCGCCCGTCGCCCGCCGCCCGCTGCCTCCCGGCTCGTTCTCTCCCTCGCGTGCCGCTCCTCTTCCCTCGCCCGCCGCCCGCCTCCTCGCCCTTTCTGCCTGGTGGCCCACACACGCGGGCAGCCAGCGTGGGCCCCAAAGGTGCGACTCAAGACGCCTCCGCCACCCACTGGCCCCCCAGACAAAAAATAGGGCTCCCTCCTCCTCCTCCTCCTCCTCCTCCTCCTCCTCCTCCTCCTCCTCCTCCTGGACCCATAATGCAGCCCTCTTGGGGCTGGCGGGTGTCCTCTGGGACCACTGGAGCCAGTCGGGGCGTCATGGGGATTCGGCCTGTTGGTGTTGGGAACCTTTATAGGGGGCGCCTGGGGGCTTCTTTTGGGCCTGGTGAGGGCCTCTTTTGCGGGCCTCCTTGGAGGTTCTCGATCGCTTGTTGGCGGTCTCGGTGGTTCTCTTGGGGCGGAGGGCACGAACAAATAATTCGAGTTACCCCTCTTGGGGCCCTGTTGGAGTCCTGTTTGGCCGTCTTGGGCGCCTCTTGGGTAATCTTGGGGCCCCCTTGGACCATCCTGTGGCCGTCTTGGAGGCTCCTTGGGCCGCTTTGGAGTGATACTGCGGTCCTTCTGGGCCGTATCGGACGCTGCTGAGACCAAACGTGCGAACATGGTAAAAACGAACATGCTCCCAAGGGATTGACATGAGTTTTGCTGTTGGGCACCCGATGGGGGGTCCTTTTGGGCGTCTTGGATGCATGTTTGGCGGCCTTGAGGTTTTCTTCGTAGGGTGTTCTGAAGCCAGCTTGAGCAAGCTTATCCGGAGTCTTGGGCATCTCTTGGGCATCTTGGAGGCCACGGGCTGTAGACTTGGAGGCTCCAGAGGCCCTGGGGACGCGTTAGCGGGCTCGTCCCCCCGCTGCCCAATCCCTCAAGCGCGATTTGAGGCCGTGGGGGGGGGGAGGGAGGCGGACAGCTCAGTGCGTGGTCACCCCTGGTAAGCCCCCCCCCCGCCCCTCCCTCGGGGTCCGACAACCCGCGCCCATACCTATGGGGCGCCCTCGATGAGGGCGCGTTGCCCGCTCATTAGTAATGCCCCCGTCGTCTTCGTCTTCCTGTACATGTAGAAGCAAAGTGTGCGGGTCCGAAGTTCGAAGCGAGGTTGCGCGCCCCTCGTCTCACCGCCGCCCTCGGATGCGGCGGCCGTTCCGAGGATCGCGCCGTTCGGTAAGGAGGACACCGCCAAGGAGCTCCAGGACCATGCGGCGAAGACCCAGGACACACTCGTTGACGCCGTTGAGAATGCAGAGGTCTGGGCGCTCGGGTGGGCGCCTGGAGAGCGCTAGCGGGGAGGAGGTGAACAGGGCAAGAGGAGAGAGGGGGAGAGGAGGGAATCGAGGAGGAACAAGGGGGAGGACGTGGCCGCTCCACAGGTCGCGGAGATCAAGCGCGCCGTGTTCCGCGCGCTCACACGTCTGCGCGCGGCCACGATCAAGGACACAGCGACCCCACCTGGCCTTTGGTCCCCGTTTGTCTAACACTCTGGTTTCCTACCTCCCGCTATCCCGCCCTCCCCCCCCCTGCGCTCTGCCCCCTCTGCCCCCTTGTCTACGTGCCACCCTATTCCCTGCTCTCTGCCCCCACACGTCCTGCCCCGCCGAGTGGCCTCAATGGGTCGGCGGATTTAATTGGTAGCGATGTCCGAGGAATTTCCGACCGAGAGCCCTTGCGTCATCGAACAAGAATTGCCGTTGGCTGTCCGTGACCGAGTCGTTTTGCCGCGCGTAGGCCACGAGCATACCCCCATGCCTTCGCCTTCGCCAATGCATCTCCGCCAATCGTTCGGTACCCATTTTACTATGACCACTGGCAGATCCACCATCCTCCAACGGCTCTTATACATCTGTGGTGTCGGCCTCTCCCCCTCTCTCTCTGCCTCGTATCCCCTACTTGTGCCTACATGCACAGACATCTATACATCTATACGTACACCCCTGCAACACCTTTCCGGAAAGGGTTGCCTCCGCGGGGTCGAGCTGTTGAGGTCAGCTCCTCGGCGGAAGGCAGCGGGAAGCCGGCGGCGGACGCCTGCGGAAGCCAAGCGGGAGCGGCGCCGCCGGCGGACGTCCGCGGACGTGTCAGCCGATCTCCGAGAGGTGCGAGCTGCTTTGGATCCGAGCTCTCTGGAGCACCTCGTGCAGACGCACGTGCGCGTGGGTGCTCCCTCCTCTCTTCTGCACGCACGAGCCCCTCACGTGCGTGGAAGGTTTTGCGCGGCCGGTGCGCCCTCCCTCTCCGCCCGGTACGCAGGAGTTCGACACGATTGCTCGCTTGGAGACTCAGGCGATCGACGCTTACAACGACGCGCACCACTACCGCGCGGACTCGTTCCGATGCTGTTGCTACTTTTCTCATCCTCATGCGCTCTGCGCCGTCGCCGTCTAGACCTTTCCCTCTCTCCCTCAATCGTGTGCTCTGTGCATTTCTTATTGAGGCTGCTGTGTGTAATGATATGTCTCTGTTCCCATCCTGTGGCGTAGGGTCCCTGTTTCGAAGAGAGCGCCCGGTTCCACTCACACGTCCCGCTGCCCTGCTTCCTCCTCCCATTCCTGCCCCAGCCGTCCCGTGCGCGTGTAAATTTCGGCATCTTGGACGCTCCAGCTCCTCGCGGACCCCTCCGTCCAGGTCAGGGGGAGGGGGTAACGGGGGAGGGGCAAGCCTCCCCCCCGAAGGGGAAGAACGGGGGTTTTTGAAGAGGAAGCTCCCTGGACCACCCACGCCCAGAGGGCTGGTGGGATAGTTTCCACTGCTGGGAACGGTGCTCTAAAGACTCATCTCGGTCCGAGGGAGGGGCACACTCCTTCCCCTTGGCATCGCTCGGACGTGTGTTTTTTTTTCTCGGCGACGGCCATCGAGGAGCATCCTTGATCACTTGGCGAAAAAACCACGCACGAAACCGAAAAAAAGCACAGGGAATGGACGTCCGAGCGATGGCGAGTCCCGAGTCGCAGGCTTGCGAGGCGAGTGCGAGGGCGCGCCCGGGCAGACCTCCTCCTGGGCTGCGCTCCGCTCAGCAGCTCGAGGCGGAGCCCGCCGTGGCCACGAGAGACGCCTCCTCGAGGCCCCCAGGCGCCGCAGACGACTCGAACCCTCCCCTCCCTCCCTCCCTCCCTCCCTCCTCCTCCTCTTCCTCCTCCTCCTCCTTCTTCTCCTCCTCCTCCTCCTCCTCCTCCTCCGCCCTCCTCCTCCGCCCTCCTCCGCCCTCCTCCTCCTCCTCCTCCTCCTCCTCCTCCGCCTCCTCCCTCCTCCCTCCTCCTCCTCCCTCCTCCTCCTCCTCCTCCCTCCTCCTCCTCCTCCTCCTCCTCCCTCCTCCTCCTCCTCCTCCTCATCCTCCTCCTCCTCCTCCGCCGAATCGGCAACGGCAGCATTCCACGTCGAGCCTGGGGACCAGCTCTTCTTGACTGGTTCAGCTGTGCCGTTCTTTTAGTTTGTGCAGGCCGGTCACGTATGCCCCCCCGTGTCTGAGCGCCCCGCGAAGCGAAGGTAAACAACAAGAGCGCCACAACAGACTCGATCCTCGAACCTCGATCCTCGAACCTCGAGCTTCCAAGTCGCTCTTCTGCGGGGCGAGTGCCCCGGTGCCCGCCGAGACGCGGGGCCCAGGAGAACCCCCTCGCGCACCTGCACGAGGACGAGGCGCCCGTCGAGACGGACAAGCTGAAGTCCTTCCACTGAGCACGAGCGCGCGCGTGGAGGCGCTTCGGTCCAGGCCCCCGGAGTGTCTCGTGTTCTCAGCGTGTTTTTGACGCTCTTCCCCTGGTCAGTGCTTGCACTGAAGGGGTCCTATAGCGGATATTGAAAAGAGTTGGCGAAAGTTTCCTGCCCATTCTGGTGGCTGGCTGGCTTCCCGGGTTCCCGGTTCCGGGTTCCCGGGCTCCTGGTATTGGTTCCGGGCCGATTTCGGTGGGTTCCGGGCTCCAGGGTCCCCGCTCGATCTCGGTATCGATCTCTTTATCGATCCCATTTCAAACCATCCATAGACCGGGCTTTTGCTTCTGGTGTCATCGTCTGTTCCTCTGAGATGTTCCAGCCTCGGGCTGCTCTCCAGTAGCTGCGCCTCGCCGGGGGCGTTCTGGGGGTGCACGGATCGTCCCGAACGGATGCTGGAGTCTTGAGTTTACCAGCCTGGAACATATCCCTATCCCTATGCTGGGCACCTCTTCATCACGATGCCAATCTTAGGGATCCCTTGTTTTGAGGGCGAATCCCTAAGATTGTCATCGCCTTTTGGCGTGTCAATCTTAGGGACAGGGATACGTTCGAGGCCGGTAATGAGTTCTGACCCGGAACCGAAGAGATTCCCGACGGGCGGGTTTGACGGTCTTCGGCCCCCGGAGCTCTTGCTTGGCCCCAGGGCCGTCGCAAAACCGATTCGGGACGAAGAGCTGGCCCCCAGGAAGAAGAGCTGGCCGTCGCAAAACCGATTCGGGACCAGACGGGACGAAGAGCTGGCCGTCGCAAAACCGATTCGGGACGAAGAGCTGGCCGTCGCAAAACCGATTCGCAAAACCGATTCGGGACGAAGAGCTGGCCGTCGCAAAACCGATTCGGGACCAGACCTCATCGGGCGGTTCCAGAGCGTTCCAGAAGCCTCTCAGCGCGTCCTGGAACGCTCTGAGAAGGCCGCGGCGCCCGAGACATCCTCCAGAGCCACCGGGTCTCAGGAATTCCCAGCTCATCCTCACCCGGTGTTATCCTCGCCTCGCCTTTGTCTTACCTCTGGGGGTCCACCATGGACCCCCAGAGCCACGACGGGTTGATCTTTTTTCATGGCGTGGGCCGTCCACGCCATGAGCAACAATCACGACGTCGGGACTCTGGGCCTGGCGCTCCGGGCGCCCAGGGGGTCTTTTTGTTATCCGAGGCTGGGACTTGTCCGTATCCACCGCATGGGAAAAGCAAAGGATATCTGTCTGTCTGTGTGTTTGTATGCATAAGCACATATATGCATATATGGAGTGTATGCATGTATGCGTATATGCATGTATGCATGTATGCATGTATACATGTATGTGTATGCATGTATGCATGTATTTGTATGCATGTATGCATGTGTACAGCATTCATGTATGCACGCATGCACGTATGCATGCATGCATGTATGCATGTATGTACAGGTGTATAGATGTATGCATGTATGTATGCATGTATGCGTGTATGCATGCATGCATGCATGTATATATGTATGTTTGTATGCATGCATGCATGCATGTATGTATGTATGTGTGTAGGTGTAGGTATGTCCTTATTTGTGTATGTACGTCTATGTATAGATACGTATGTACGCATGCGTACGCATATATGTGTCGTCACGGGAGGCGGTGGGTGTGTGGATGTTTGCGTGTGTGTCTATGTCTGTTTGTATATCCTTATATGAGCACATATACACATTTATATATACATATATGAATGCATATATGTGTGTACACACAATATATGCATATATATATATCCATATATGCAATGTCGCCGCGCCGTTTGTTCCGCCGCGCGGCCTCACGCCTTGGGGAGGGCGCCTCGGCCACCAGGGCACACGCCGCCCTGGGCGCGGTGGGTTCCGCGGTGTCGGCTTGGTCTGCTTGGGCGCCAGGCGCAGTGTTAGCCGTTGGTTCGCCGTGGTGTCGGCGTCGCCCACATTGGGCGCATCGAGACAAAACGGCGCGGCGACATGTAGACTGGTGTGAACATACATCTATATATATATATATATTGAGATACAAACGTATGAGCACACAGACAAACACATCGAGATATTCGGCATGTTAAGGTGTGTATACATGCATGCATGTGCATGTTTATGGAGTTGTGAATACGTATATGTATAGACACATACACACATATCTACATATATATATAGTATGCATGTCGGACCAGGCCTGGCCAGACATATCAATATCTACCGCCCGCTGGGGTCCCAGGACATCGATTTCCTGGGCGGTGGATGTGGAGAAGTCCCTGCCTCGTCCTTTGGCGCTCTGGGCGCGCGGACCGTGGAGGCCGCAGCCTCTGGGCGCGCAGCGGACATGTGCGCGCCGCGCCCTCGCGCGCTGGCGTGCGTCCACGATGCCGATGCCGCTGCTCTCCCCCTGAGATCCAGGCGTCGCCATGTGCTCACACCGGTTGGTTTCGCTGCGCTCTCGGGCTCGGGCGCACGATTTACAACCACGACGTACTTCCCGACCATCCCGTGGTGATGGGTCTTCGTTTTGAGGAGACAGCGCCCCGCGTCACGCCTTCCTCTCTCCTCCTTCCTACTTCCCATACCCCTCCTTCTCCAATCCCTTGCCTATGCCCTCCGCTTGTCTCTGCTTCGGCACACCACTCACACGTTTCGTGGTCCAATAGGGAACTCCACCGAAGGCCTCAGTGGCCGCGGCCGCATGCGTTCACGCCACCCAGTACAGCGTTTCGGTGCCCCATAGGAAGCTCCAACGAAGGCCCCAGCGGCAGCGGCCGCTTGTGTCCGCGCCACCCAGTACGGCGCTTAGTGGCCACACAGGGAGCTCTACCGACGGCCCCAGTGGCCGCGGCCGCATGCGTCCGCGCCACCCAGTACAGCGTTTCGTGGCGAGCTCCACCAAAGGCTCCAGTGGCCGCGGCCGCATGCGTCCGCGCCGTCCAGTACAGTCTTTCTTGGCCCCATAGGGAGCTCCGCCAAAGGCTCCAGTGGCCGCGGCCGCATGCGTCCGCGCCACCCAGTATATCGCTTCGTGGCCCCATAGGGGAGCTCCACCGAAGGCCCCAGTGGCCGCAGCCGCATGCGCCCCCCCGCCCCTGCAGTACAGCGCTTCGTGGCCGCAAAGAATTCCGCCGAAGACTCCAGTGGCCGCGGGCGCAGGCGTTTCTAGGACACCCCTCACGCGCTCCACCAGAGGCCCCTGGGGCGGTGTTCGCATGCCCCCCCCCTCCCCACACTCGTGCCGGCACACCCTCACACGTCTTGTGGCCCCGAAGGTAGCTCTACCGAAGACAACGCCCACTATTGCATTACCCATCACCCCATCTGGCCGGGCCCTTCGCCAGGCCAATTCCGCGTTGTCGGATCTCAGGGTCCGTCGTCGCCGCCTCGACCTCCTGGTCGGAACGCACACCCACGGAGAGGTCCAGGGAGTAGAGGCTGTCCCGCTGACACCATCACCATGGAGGAAAGGGGTCCCGAGGGAAACCGATCATGTAGGTGTTTTGCAGTGTGGTGTTCGGGTTTCCGGGGGGCTTCCCGGGTCCCCAGGACCACGAATTGAGAGCTCTTCCCACCAGGATCCGTTTCTTTGATGCCTCACTCCAAGAGGTGGTGGCGCGGTGTGGCCCCACCCAGCAAAAGGAGCGGCACCCTCCCTCGGCTGCCTCCCTCATCTCCGCAGTGGCAGCGCCAGGCTTGCGGCTGCCGCGGGTGGGTGGCTTGGGAAGTCGCCGGGAGCCGAGAAGCGGCAGCGACGCTTGGGCCGATGTTGGCCAGAACTGTGGCCCGTTTGCCCTCCTTCGGTCTACGGGGCTCGTGCCGTCCCTCCTAGGTGGGCGCGGATCTGCCTCGCGTTGGGTTCGTATGGTCTCTCAGGGTTTTCGATTTCCCCCAGCAGGTCCTCTGTGCAGGTGGGAAGGCGTTTCCGCGATCTGGAGGGCCGGCTTCAGGCAGCATCCTCACAGTGTGGTGTGGGTCGCTAGGTTTTGATAATGACAGGATTCTCAATCTGAAAGGGCGGTGGCAGGTACTTCGTTCGGTCCATATGGACACGGGGTGGGCCCACTCCTTCCACATCTGATTACGAATCCACGGCTCTTCAGCGCACGCGTTTTTTAGGATCACAATACATATCGATATGTGTGTACACACCTATATTTGCATACATATGTACACCATATATATATATATATGTCGTTCGGTGTCTGAACACTTCTGCAACTCGGTTGACATATCCCGCATCTTGTTGACGGGATCATGCCCTACATCGTTGGCGGAGGGAAGATCGACCAGAAGAAACGACACAGCCCCTGCCACGACCCTCCCTGTTGCGCTACGGCCCATCGGGGCGCTGCGGCCCATCGGGGGCCGCAGCGTACACCATGCAAGAAGCCCACGCCAGATTTGCTTGTATACACTAAGCCCCGTGGGGCCGTAGGTGGGTCGGGCCGGGCGAAAGGGGGGGATTGGGAAAGGGGGGGTTACGAAATTTGCTGCATGCAGCTGGTTTCGGCCTCACCGAGGGGCCATTCCTCGATACATGGCCGCCTCCAGCGCCGGGCGGCGCCGGGAAAATCAGCTACGTGAGCTGATTCTCAAACCCCCCCTTTGCTATCCCCCCCTTTCGCCCGACCCGAGTGGGGTGATGTCGTGTGTTTTCTGTTCCAGGAGCGGGTGCTTGGATCAGGTGCGAAGAGACAGCCACAACCACTGGGCCGAGGGAACCGGTCGTGGCGCCCCCCCCCCCAGAGCCGACCTCGACCCGCTCGGGGCTCAGCCTGGAGGTTGTGGTTGTCTCCCCTTCGCTCCTGAGCGCTGGACATCGGAGAGGATCCAGCTCCAAAGCACGGCGCTTGCGTGCTCGGGTCTTCGCATCCATAGTCAGGACTCATCATCCCGACGGTTCGCGCGGGCAAGCCCGCCCCATAGCCTTCTTTTAGGGCGAGCACAAGTCCCGTGCCATCGTCTAGGGTTCTGTCTGGTTCGCTTCTCGAATATCTCTTCCTCTTCCCATTCCACTCCGCTTTCCAGTCAAATACATCCCATTCCTTTTGGATAGCGTTGGCTATTTACTTGCTTCGACCCCGGCCAGGCCGATCCTTGCCCGGGATAGACATGGCCCAGACTTGTGCACGTGTTCTTCTAGTTGGCGCTCTCCTACGTATGCCGCCCTTTCCCCAGAGCTCATGCCGACGGTACGCTTGCTGTGAGGGGGCCGAGTCAAGGGCGATTCGTTTTGGTTGGTGACATTGGATGCGGAGACGAGGGGCCTCTCGCTCCGTGGGTACCCGATCACCTGGTCATCATCATCATCGTCATCATCATCATCACCACCACCATCAGCATCACCATCACCATTACCATCGCCATCGCCATCACCATCATCATCATCATCATCATCATCATCATCATCATCATCATCATCAGCATCATCATTATCATCAGCATAACCATCATAATTAGCATCATCATCACCATCATCACCACCACCATCAGCATCGTCGTCATCACCGTCGTCATCATCGTCGTCGCCATCATAGTCATCGGCATCATTGGTATCACCAGCACCGTCATCATCACCATAACCATCACCGTTACCATCATCATCATAATCACCATCACCAGCATCATCAACATAACTATCAACATCAGCGCTATTTTCATCATCATCATCAGCGTCGTCATCGTCACCACCATGATCATCACCGTCATCATTATTTTCGTCATCATTATCACCACTGTCATTGTCATCGTCATCACCATCACCATACCATCATTATCTTTACCATCACCATCGTCGTCACCATCTTCATCACCATCAACATCAACATCATCATGACCATCATCGCCGTCACCATCATCATCATCATCATCATCATCATCATCATCATCATCATCACCATCATCATTATCATCACCATCATCAGGCTCACAATCTTCATTATAATCAGCATAAGCAACAGCCTTAGCATCATCATCGTCATTCCCACCACCATCATAACCATCATCATCTCATCATCAGCATCATCGTCATCATCCTTGTCGTCATACTCATCATCATCACCATAATCGTTGTCATTATCATCAGCATCATGACCATTATCATCATCATCATCATCATCATCATCATCATCATCATCATCAACATCATCATCATCATCATCATCATCATCAGCATTCTCATCATCAGCATCATTACCATCATCATGACCACCACCATTACCATCACCATCACCATTACCATCACCATCACCATTACCACCACCATCGTTTTCGTCATCATCGTCAGTGCCATCGCCGTCGTCATCGTCGTCATCGTCGTCATCGTCGTGACCGTGATCATCAGGATCAGCATCACCATTATCATAATTATCATCATCATCGCCGTCACCATCATCATCATCATCATCATCATCATCATCATCATCATCATCATCATCATCATCATCATCATCATCATCTTCAGCAGCATCATCATCATCCTCGTCCTCATCCTCATCCTTAGCCTTATCCTCACCCTTCTCTCCCTGCCCCTTCGCCTCACCCCTCCAACCAGGGGTATACGTGGAAGGGGAGGCGGCGAAGGGGGGGGGCGAGGATGAGATTCTCCTTACCTTTCCCGGCGTGCGTTCTGACAGATTTGCGGGGAGAGCCCGGCCGCGGCGACGAGGGCTCTCCAGGAGGAGCAGCGGAACCAGCACAGCTTCCTCCTCCGAGGAGGAAACTACACATCGCCTGTCTCTTTCTCTTCGGCATCGGCAGCGGAAAACCGCCAGACACGACGTGAGGGCGCGTGCGCGCGCCCAGGAAAAGGAGTAGCTAACCTCTTCCTCCTCTGCCTCTACCTACGGACCCTAGTACAGGATCGTATCCCCTCGGTCGCATCCCCTCGGTCGTATCCCTCGGACACGAAGCCCCGAGGGGTCGTATCCCCTCGGTCGTATCGCTCGGACCGAGGCGCCTCCCCGACCCAGGGCCTCGGTTGGGTCATGCGCCTTCGCGCGCGCGCGCGCCCAGGGCCGCGGCCGGGCAGGCGCGCCTGGCGGAGGAGGAGGAGCCCCCTGCCGCCCCGCGGCGCGGCGCGGCCGCCCTCTGGCCCCGGCTTGGCCGGGCGCCGCGACATGTCGCCCCGACATGTCGCCCTGAGATGGGCATCCCGCAAGCAGACCAGGCAGACACGCTGTGCATGTCTCATGCTTCGATCTGATTCTTAGGGGGCCAAGATCCTTTGCATGTCTACTCGTTCTGTCCTGGGCCTCTTCCTGGCCACGGGGGGGCCAGGAACAATTAGAAACGAGCACAATTAGAGATGAGCACGACTAGATATGAACGATGTGTGTTTGTGCTATGCTTGCGTCGTCCCCCCTCCCCAAGGGGCGACGAGTGCGCTCAGAACTCTTACAGTGTACGCTCGGCTTCGGGCACTTTCTGCCCCTCCCGCCTGGGCAGCGATGTACGATAAGCCGTTGGTGCCATACGTCCAGGTTGGATGTGCACATCCAAGGTGTGCGCATATAATGACTACGATCTTGTGCGTCCCATGGAGGGAGAGGGATCCTGAGACAAGGGGTCTAGAAGGAAAGGGGTTCTGCAGTCCAGACCCCCACGGGTCATGACAAACTTAGCATGGCGAAAGACCCAACCATATGCAGTTGTGAGCGCCGTCGTTGTGAGTATCGCCTTCGGTTGAGCTCCACATGCGGCCACGCAACGTATGAGGGGTGTGCCGAAATTGGGGTGGGGATGCATGTTGACGCAGCCACTGGGGTTTTAGATGGAGCTCCGTATGGGGCCACGCAACTTGTGGGGGGTGTGCCGACATGGGTGGTGGGGACGCATGTGGACGCAGCCACTAGTGCCTTAGATGGGGCTCCCTTGGGGGCCGAAACGTGTGGTGTGTGTGTGTGTGTGTGCTGACATGGGTGGTGGGGACGCATGTGGACGCGGCTACCGGGGCCTTAGATGGAGCTCCCTTAGGGGACCACGACGCGTATAGGGTGTGAGTGCCGAAATGGGCGGCGGGGACGCATGCCGCCGCAACCACTCAGGCCTTAGATGGAGCTCCCGTATGGGGCCACGACGCGTATAGGGTGTGAGTACCGAAATGGATGGCGGGGACGCATGCGGCCGCAACCACTGGGGCCTCAGGTGGAGCTCTCTGTGGGGTCACGAAGCGTGTTAGGGGTGTGCCGAAATCGGTGGTGGGGACGCATGTGGCCGCAGACATTGGGGCCTGAGGTGGAGTTCCCTATTGGGCTAAGGCTTTTCAATGCAGTGGAGGTGGTGATCGGGCTTCTGATGGCAATGGTCGTCTTCAGCGGCCACATGCTGCAGGTTCCCGTCGAGAGGCCAGTTTTGAGTCCCAGAGGGTCGAGCTCAAGCAACAGTTGCAGATGTTCATCAGCGGCGGAGGTGCGCCCAAGACGAAACCCAGTGGAGGTGAAGGCCAGGGTCAGTCTCCAAGACCTGGTGGCACAGCTGGACAGGCCAGCGGGGACGAATCACCCTTGCAGTTCAAGGCGAATGGGTTGGAGCCGGTCATCAGGGCGTTCAAAGGCCACGCGGCTGCGGAGGCCAGGTCGCTGCTGGAGGTCAAGCTCAAAGCAGTGCGAGCACCAACCGAGAGCAAGAAGGCAGGCATCACCCGGCGCGCCAACGGGCGGCACCGCCTGGCTAGAGCGGTTCAGAAGTATGAGCACATATCTGAGGAGCTCACGGAGCACAACAAGATGTTGGAGGAGCTCATCGCCAAGACGGCGGACCCAACACCACGGGATGGCCGGGAACCGCCACGCGGGGAGGATCGCCGTTTCTTCCAGCTCCCGGGGCCCTCCAGGGGCCCCGGGGGCGTCAACAAGACGATTCGGGGTGAGGAGCTGGTGCTGTGGAGCGCCCCCCAGGGGGTCCGAGGCCCGGTGGCAGTGGTGGCCGTGGTGGCGGTAGTGGTGACGGCGGTGCTAGCTCTGTGGAGGACGATCAAATGGAGAGGGAGCGTGTTGCCAAATAACTTCCAGATGTCTAAAGCATGTGTCAAACGTGCTTCAAACATGTCAAAAGCATGTTTGGAACATCTTCCGGCATCTTTAACACATTTAAAGTCGATGATAGGACTGTTAGGGTGCCCATTGCTCTGGCATCCACAATATTAGTTCGACTACCACGAGTAGTCGTCGTCGTCGTCGTCGTCGTCGTCGTCGTCGTCGTCGTCGTCGTCGTCGTCGTCGTCGTCGTCGTCGTCGTCGTCGTCGTAGTGCTTGTAGGAAGGGTGTCTTGAGGGAAACGGGCCCCGAGGACTTTCGCCGTGCTCGAGCTCCGGGGGCCCCCGAGACCCGGGCCTTGCGCTGTTTGTCACGCCCGAGCGACTCCGCCCGCCGTCAGGCCCCGGGCCCCTCACAGATCGAGCGGGCCAGCAGAGCGAGGATCTGGACGCCCGAAATGGGCACGGAAAGAAAGGGCACGATGCCCAAAAGCAGTTCCTGCTTACTGTAGTGGCCTTCGGCCGGTGCCGCCGATCCGGGTCGCTCGGCGTTCTTCTCCAGACGCAGACAGTATGGGCGCACACTCAAACGCACAAACTTCTCGGGTTACCTTCGAAAGGGCGTAGGGATGCAGTTGGGTCAATAGAGCCATCTCGCAACAGTGGTTCTATCAACGGCGGGGTGCTTGCAGTGACCGTGGGGACGGGAAATAATAATGACATGACAATTCCATACAGGGTGCCGATCACTTTGGAAACTCACGATACGTCTTGCACGGAGTCTTGTTACGAAACATCTGGCCTGGACGATGTGGTGCGAGCGGTGGAGGCGAGCCTATCGGCGCAAGGACGCCCTCTTGGGGCGTTTTTTGAGCCATCTTAGGAGCCTGTCAGGGCGTCGTGGGGGCTTCTTGGGGGCTTTCGGAGGCCCTCTTGGAGGCTCTTGGGGCCTCCTGGGGGCCTCGTGGGCTGGAAGGCTAGATTTTTTCCGCTTTTCGTCCCTCTTTTGGGTCCTCTTGGGGCCGTCTTGGGGGCCTGTTGGGCCGTCTTGGGCGGCTCTTGGGCCGCCTTGGGGCCCTCTTGGGCCGTCTTGGGACTGTCTGGGGGCCTCCTGGGCCGTCTTCGAGCGGTCTTGGGGGCCTCTTGGGCCGTCTTGGAGCGTCGGAAAGCTGAAAAAAACGACAACCCCATAAACATTGAAAAAACCAATTGGAATCAACGATTTTTGCCTCTGGGGGCCATCGTGGGAGGCCTCTGGGAGGCCTCTTCAGACGTCTTGGAAGGCTCTTGGGCCGTCTTGGGGCCATCTTGGGCGTGTTCGGGCGATCCTTCGGGGTCTCGGGACTTTCTTAGACCGTCCTCAGAGACTTTTGCGGCCGCGGCCACCCTTCCAGCGCATCCTCGAGATTAGAGCCTTCTGTAAAAGCAGCGCCCCGCATCCGCCGGAAACTCGCCCCCCCCCCCCCCCCCCATCCCCCCTTCCCCGGCAGAGCCACCCCGGCCAACCCCCCCGGAGGCTGAGGCTCAGCCTCGAGGCTGTAGCTGAGACTCCTTGAAACTCACACGCCGGATCGGCGGATTTTGAGCATGATTCGCTGTCCACGCCGCCGCGGCCTATGTCCATTCGAGACAGGAGGCCGCCTGCCCAACAGCGGCCGTTGTTGGTTTGGGACAACATTTGTTGGTGGGCATTGTACCCATTCTTTCCGTGCCATCTCGGGCGTCCAAAGAGGAGGATGTGATCTGGGCTCAGGTCGTGTTCGCCCTGCCGTAACTCGGCCGCAGCGACGGATCTCTCGGGGGCCCTCCGCGGGCCGCGGGACTGCCGAAACGCGATTCGGGAGGAAGAGCTGGTGCGCCAGCGTCTCCTCGTGAGGCTCCCTGGCGTGCGTCGGAGCCTGCGAGTGTCACCGAGCGCGCCGCACTGCTCGCAGAGCGCATGCTCACAGACGTGTGAAGAGCATATGCTCCCTTCGATCGGGCGAAGAGAACTATGCACATGCACCGATCCTGGCAAGGCCCATCCTTGACCCAGGATCGGTGCATATGCCTCCCTGGCCAAGGTAGGAGGGCGTATGCACCGATCCTGGGCTCAGGATGGGCCTGGCCAGAATCGGTGTATGTGCATAGTTCTTTTTCCTCTATTCGACGAGATGTATCGCAGATCCGCCGCGGCGAGTCGAGCAGCTATACTCTGCGAGGAGTGGGGCGCGCTCGTCTGACGTGGGCTTCCCATCCGGAGCCGCTGCTGCGCGGGGGGCCTCGCTCGCCGCCCCGGGACCTCGCGCCCACCCCTCCCCATCCCCAGGCCCTCCTCGCGTGGGGGGAAATCTCGGGAGCGGAAAAGAGGGGGGTGATGACTAGGGGGGGGTGGATATCATGGCGGGGGCCATGATATCTCCCCAGATTTCATGGCGCCCCTTCTTATTTCATTACGTCCCTGGCCCCCCCGCTGGGCCGCGCACATGCCGCCGGTCATGATTTGCACCCCCCCTCTTGGACACCCCCCTCTTTGCCGCTCCCGAACATCACGATGGGCGGTTTTTCGCAGTGCTTTGCCTCGGGGGGCCCTCACGGGACAGCGGGACGGCCCCCCTTCGGTCAGGGATGAGAAGCCAGTCCCCGGGAAGGGGTCCAGACCTCTGGGGGCTCATCTCGGGGTCTGGGTCCCCATCGTTTGGAGCTGTGCGTTGTGCGGCAGCGCATCGGCGCTGCGCCATGGAACAGAGGCAACCTGGGACGGGGGAGGCCCGCCAAGGTCTTGCCTTGCCCCCCAGCGCCGGCCCAGATGCTCGAATACCATGTACAGGCCACAGTCCTTAATCACAGGTTTCGTGCCCCCACAGGCAGCCTCACCTACTGCCCCATTAGACGCGTTCGCGCGCGGCCTCCGCCCATCTTGTCACACCCCTCACGCGGGTTGCGCGCATATCACAAGGAGTCCGGCGCGCCTCTACGCGTTTGTTCCGCAGCCCGTTATTCGCATTGCCCAGCGGAGGGCAGTAAATGAATAGAGGGCCTTGCCCTCAGTCCTTAATCCTGTGGCCCATCATCCACTCGGAGGCCTCTCGGCGTCGCCAGCGGCCAGCGCTACGCAGCGGGCTTCGCCGCGGCCATTCTCGCCCGATCGTCTTGGCCCGCTCGTTCTCGCCCCGCCGGTTCTGCCCGATGGGTTTCGCCGCGGCCTGCTTCGCCCGGCTGTCCTCGCCCGCCCGTCAGCCAGCACACCCCGCCCGCCCGCCCTGCCCCGCCCCGCCCCGCCCTGCCCGTCGGGGTCCGCCCTGCGCCTGCAGAGACGTCCGCCCGCTTTCGTGCGCCGCCCGCCCGGCCCGCCCGTTGGGGCCTATGCGACCCGGCCCGCCCGTCAGTCGCCGAGCGCGTTCCAGTACTCGCAAAGTGCCTACTCGCAAGCGTCCGAAAAACACCTGTCTGCTCTGATGTGATTTCTCGTAGATCCCCCGCGGGGGATCCAGGCCATTTGCGCGTAGTTGCTTTGCGAGTAGTGGAACGCGCTCGTCGAGTCGGGGTCCGCCCGCCTGGCCCGCCCGTGGGAGTCTTCCCGCCCGACCCGCCCCGTGTGGTCCGCTCGCGGCGCCGACCGTCGGCGATGCCGACCGCCAGCGAAGCCCACCGCGGCGGCGAAGCCGCCCCCCTGCGAAGCAGGCTCGTGCCACCTGGCCGCCTGCCCAGACCCCCCCGGGCGTCGTGATTTTGTAACGTGGGCCCGGTTTTTCATCCCGCGTTGTTTTGTAACGCGGTCACGGGCCCAGTGAGCGTCGTGATTGGAGGCCGAAAATGGGCAAACAACGCTTGCGTGTATTATATATACACACATATGTGTGTGTGTGTGTTTGTGTGTGTGTGTGTTTGTGTTTGTGTTTGTGTTTGTGTGTGTGTGTGTTTTGGTTGCCAAGCCAAGAACCCGAGGGGGTTCTGGGTGTCGCCCTTCCGCGGCTGTTCGGCGGAGGGAGGATCCAGCCTCTCGAAGAAAATGCGGTCAGGGATTTTTCCTCAGCGTGCCGCTCCGCCAGTTCCCGCCCACAGCGCTTCGGCGCGACGCACCTCGTCCTGGGCCCCAAGCGTCCCGACCTCCCGCCTCGCGGAGCGGCGCGACACGCTATCTGTCTGCAGGGCACAGCGTGGCGCCAGGGCCCGCCGCCGCGACACGGTGCGCAAAAGTTCCCGGTCATGGATGTTTCCCACCCGCGGTCCCTAATTGCCTTGTCGACCCTCTTTCCCCAGGCTGGGACAGTTTTTCGTCCCAGGCCCGTTTTTAATGGCCACAGGCCGCAAAAAAGGCTGTCCAGAGGCTGATGCCAAGCCAGGAGCGACAAATCAGCGCATGATGTGACAGGCCCGTGCGGAGACCTGCGGTAACGGGGAAAGCAGACGATTACACGGATGAGGGAGGACGCGGAGGGAGTGCGGGAGGGAGGCGAGGGAGAAGAAGGACGAGTGGGGGAGCAGGGGGCTTGGAGCAAGAGGAGAGGGGGGGGAGGAGGAGAAAGAGCGAGGAGGGAGGGATCCCCCACCGGGGGGAAATGCCGATCCCGGATCTCCGACGACTTGCTTTTTCACAACGTCAACCCCCAGAGGTCTGGACCCCTCCCCTCGGACCGGCTTCTCATCCCGAGTCGTGGATTGACGCTCCCGAGGCCCGGCAGGGCCCCCCAGAAGCCCAGAGCACGCCGCGATGTTGCTCACAACGCGATGGGGGTCTGGGATGTGGTGCTCCGAATTTCGCCGTTCCGGCCGCCTCCGCGGGGATGTCCTCCCGCCTCCTGCAGGGACGGCCGCCGCCGCCGCCGAGGCCGCCGCCCGCGTGCCTGCTGGATGCGCCTGCAGTCTCCTGCTCGGTCTCCGTGTCGAAAGCGACGGTGTCTTCCTCCTCCTCCTCCTCCTCGGCCTAGCCCTCGCAGGCCTGCAGAATCACCAGAGAGGGGTGGGAATGTTTTCATATTTTCCCCCAACCCAGGGCCGATTTTCCTTGGAACTGGGAACTGACGGCGGGACTTGGCCTGAATGGGAAGAGAGAGAGAGAGAGGCCTCCTTCCGCAGCCATTTTGGCTCAAGCAGCCGCCGCGACCGCTCTGGGCGCCTCCCCCGCGCCGAAGCCCGCAGCCGAGCCCCCCTCCCGGAGCGGCCATGGCCTCGCAGGAGGCCGCGAGGCTCCTCGCGGAGGAGGAGCCGGCTCCAGACCGCGTGGGCGCGCTGCGGTTGAGGCTGAGGAAGCACTGGATCCCGATCGCCGGCGCCGGCGCGCTCCTCGCCGTGGTCGTCGTCATCGCCGCCACCGTCAAGGGGTCAGCTGGCACTGCGGACGACGCCCGAGCTCTTCAGGGCTCTACCCCGACGACCTCCGACGCGCCAGAGATCTCGGCGCCGAACTCGCCGCCGGCTCTGCGGTCGCAGGCGCCCGCGCCCGCGGACACGCATGCCAGCACTGTGGAGAAGGAGACCACCGTGGTGACCACCACGACCACAACGCCCTTCACTGGGGCGGCCCAGCGGAAGTTGTTCCAGTTCGTCGAGAATCTGGACGGCACGGTGGCCGTGAGGACCAGCAACGGTGGCTACGTCAGCGTGTCCGATGGCGACAAGCTCGGCACCGCCCCTGCGATCGGCAAGCACGAGTCTTTCAAGCTCATCGACCACCCTGACGGTACCATCAGCCTGGAGAGTTGGACTGGTTCATTCATCGCGGCCAAGGGCGATGAAGTCAAGCTCGCCACGAAGAAGGGCAAATTTGAGAAGCTGAAGAAGGTCGAGCAGGAGGACGGCGCCGTCATGCTCGAGACCGCCGACGGCGAGCACGTCAGCAGCGAGGCGTTTTCTGACGAGCGGGGCCGCTTCGCCGTCTACGCCCGGGAGGCCGAGGAGGCGGGTGACGCTGAGAAGTTTCACGTTGAGGTCAATTCGGACCACACGGCGTCCCTGAAGAGCCTCCACGGCACCTACCTGACTGTGGAAGGCTCCGGGTCCGTGGTCGCTGGGAGCCTGACAGTGGGCAAGAACGAGAGGTTCAAGCGCAAGCGGAACAGTGATGGGACTGTCTCGCTCGCGACAGCGCACGGTGGTCATTACGTTTCGGTGTTCGAGAACGGGACCGTGCTCGCGAACGCCACCAAGTGCCACACTTCGGAGAAGTTCCAGCTCGTCAAGCAGAAAGACGGCAGCGTGTCGTTAAAGGCGTGGAACGGACGGTACCTGTCCGTCTCCAAGCTCCCGATTCTCACGTTCTACATGTACCGTGCCCAGGGGAACGGCGACTACCCGTGGCGCAGCGTCAACACTGGGAATCTCGCTGGCGTGATGTGGTACCTGCACAACGAGGTGGTTCTCGAGTCGCCGCGCAAGTACGGGATCGAGCGCATCATCCGGATGAAGTTCCAGACCACCTCGACCAAGGCGCTGGCTGAGGTGGGCCTCAATTTCGGTGTCCGCTTCGCCTACGACACGGGCATGTGCACCGGCGCCGGCCCCATCAACGGCTACGCGAGCTGCAGGGACCTCTACGCCAGGCTGGGGCACTTTGTTGGCTGCAACTACTTGGGAGACTACCCGTTCCCCATGGCCTCCAAGGGTTTCCCGAGCTTCTATGAGGGTGGTATATGGTACAGCTTGCCGAAAGAGGGGGCCTGCATTAGCGCTCCTTATGGAGGTGACAACTGCACATTTTTCTACGAGGATGCGGGCAGCGTGGACATCGGCGACCTCCACGACATGGGCAATGGCTACTGGGACTGGTACAACAATCCCGACATGAAGGAGTACGACAAAGACACAGACGAAGGTGTTGGGAGCGACTTCTGGAACGGCATCAAGGACGTGGAGGGCAACAAGAAGCGCGTACAGCGCGCGCTTGCTCTCTTCAGCGAGAAATATCCGGACACTCCCTCGGAAGATGTCTACCCGGACCCAGTCTGCGACTTCAATTGCAAAAAGTTCTATTCGAGCGAGGAGATGGAGAAGGTCGGCGGGGAGTGCCAGTGCAGCGAGCACGAGGCGGCCTTGGCTTTCATGGACAAGGTGAGCCCGAAGCAGTGCAACCTTGATGCTACCTCTGGCCTGCAGAACGTCGGCTACTACCAGGGGAATTAGGGAGGAGCAGGATATTAGAACAGAGCAATTCATTTATATGCGCCACCGTGCCCCCTCCCGAAGCAATGGAGGACGGGCGTTGCCTTTGTGAAGCAGCCAGTGTTGCTGCCCAATTTGCTGGAAACGTTCTGGCAGCCTGTGTGCTTGTGCACGCCTGGTTCACAGTCTATCTCCTGGGAATCGACATCGCAACGCCCCTCTGCCCTGGGTACCTCGCGCTCCGCCGCGTAGTGGCGTCATGCGAAGGATCTACTGCACGGCTCGGGTATCTATATAGATTCGAGGCCGTTCGAGCCACGAGTTAATCATCCTCATCCTCCTCCTCGTCCTCGTCCTCGTCCTCGTCATCTGCCTCCTCCTGGCCCCCTCCTCCGCCTCCCCCTCCCCCTCCTCCTCCTCCTCCTCCTCCTCCTCCTCCTCCTCCTCCTCCTCCTTCTCCCTCTCCTCCTCCTCCTCCTCCTCCTCCTCCTCCTCCTCCTCCTCCTCCTCCTCCGCCTCCTCCTCCTCCTCCTCCCCATTCTCATCCTCCTACCTCCTCCTCCTCCTCCTCCTCCTCCTTCCTCCTCCCCCTCCTCCTCCTCCTCCTCCTCCTCCTGCTCCTCCTCGTCGACCTCTCCTCCTCCTCCTCCCCTCCTCCTCCTCCTCCTCCTCGTCCTCCTCCTCGTTCTCCTCCTCCTCCTCCTCCTCCTCCCCTCCTCCTCCTCCTCCTCATCATCATCATCATCATCATCATCATCATCATCATCATCATCCCCTTCCTCCTCTCCTCCTCCTCTCCTCCTCCCTCCTCCTCCTCGTCCTTCTTCTCCTCCTCCTCCTCCTCCTCCTTCTCCTCCTCCTCCTCCTCCTCGTCCTTCTCCTCCTCCTCCCCTTCCTCCTCCTCCTCCTCCTCCTCCTCCTCCTCCTCCTCCTCCCACCTCCTCCGCCTTCTCCTCCTCCTCCTCTCCTACTCTTCGTCCCCGTCCTCCTTCTACTTCTCCTCCACATCCTCCTCCTCCTCCTCCTCCTCCTCCTCCCACCTCCTCCTGCTCCTTTTCCTCACCATCCTCCTCCTCCTCCTCCTCCCTCCTGCTCCTCCCTCCGTGCCAGCATCGCCGCCGCCAGCTCCCCCACTCCGCCGCCGCCGCCTCTCCCTTAGAAGCGCCCGCCGTGGCACTCGCACTGCGCCAGCGGCTGCCGCTGCGTCCCTGCGGAGCTCTTCCGCCGTTCTCGTGCACCTTCCGCTTCTTGGCCGTCATCTCCTCGATGGCACGCTCCATCTGCTCGACGTTGACCTTCCACTTCGTGACGCCCCCCGTCTTGGACGCCAGGCCCGTCTTGGTGACCAGGCCGGCTGGTCTGCTTCAAAGCCTTCCTCTCCTGCTCTTCGCAAGCCACCGAGTTGAGCGAGGCAAAAGTCTCGGTGTCCGACGCAGATTGGCTATGTTTTCCCCCTTGGTTGCCGACTCGGCAGTGGCGCTGCCGATCTCATGCGCCGAGGCCGTAGCCGCCGTCCTCTTCGACGTCTCCGCCACGGCGAGGGCCTCGAGCTCCTCGCTCTCTTTGCCAAGAGCCCGCTCCAGGTCCTCACGCCATCGAGTGCTTTGCGACGACGCCTGCTCGCTCCTCAAGGAGGCGTCGCGCCACGTCCTCGCAGCCCGCCTGACCGCCTCCGCTGGCGCAGCGCGCGCGGGGGACCGTTCCCGCCTGGCTGGCCCTCGGCTGCCAGGCCGCCGGCGCCCTCTCCACCCCCGGAGCCCTCCGTCCGCCGCAGGGCCCTCGCGCGCCGCGCGCTGACGGACTCCCCGGTGTCTGGCATGGCTCCCTGCCGGCTGCTGGCCCGGCCCTGATTCTGCGGTGCACACCGGGGCGGTTTGGGCACGAACAGCTTCACCTGTCTCCAGCACTTGCGGCAGTTCCGTGGGGCCGCACTCAGGGCGTCGTCGTATGCACGTGTCCCGCACCCCCACTTCGACCACGGACGAGTGCCACTCTGCGCTGCCATCCTCACTTTCGCCACCGCGAGACAGTCCGCCCGACAGGGTGAGCGCACGCCTCAGTGCCCCTCAAGCACCGCGTGGAGGCGTGAGGAGGGGGATCTGCAGCACGCCCGAGCCCAAGTTGCTCGAGGAGGGTGAGGGAGGAGGCCAGAGGAGGAGGACGAGGAGGAGGCACGAGGACGAGGAGGAGGAGGAGGAGGAGGAGGTCGACGAGGAGGAGCAGGACGAGGAAGAGGAGGAGAAGGAGGAGGAGGAGGAGGAGGAGGAGGAGGAGAAGGAGGAAGACGTCGCGAAGGATGACGGGTGGAGGAGGAAAAAGGAGGAGGCGGAGGAGGAGGGAGGAGGAGGAGGAGGAGGAGGAGGAGAGGAGGAGGAGGAGGGAGGAGGGGAGAGGAGGAGGAGGGAGGAGGAGAGGAGGAGAGGAGGGGGGAGGCAGGAGGGAGGAGGAGGACGGGGGGAGGCAGGAGAAGGAGGAGGGAGGAGGGCGGAGGGAGGAGGGGTGAAGCAGGAGCAGGCGGGAGGAGCACGAAGGAGCAGGAGGACGACGGCGAGCCGCCCCCCCGCCGCACCGCAGGAGCGGCGGCGCAGGAGGGCGGAGCGCTTCGGCGCGTCGGCGCCGGCGGCGCGCTAGGGCCCCGCCGGCCACAGGGGGCCTTCTCGGGAGGCTCCTCGAGGCGCTCGGGCTCGGAGCCCCTCTCTCCTCAGACTTGGCATCGCTCTGGCGTGTGCGCTTGTTCTTGGCGAGGACCAGCGAGGAGCATTCTGGATCCTCGGGCAAACAAAAAGCACGGACGACACCGAGACATGCACGGGGAATGGGCGTCCGACCGATGGCGAGCAGAGGAGGAGAGCGTCGTCGTCAGGGCCCCTGCCCCTCATGCCATTCGAGGCGCCCTCCTCGGCCTTCCCTCCTCGCTTCTCTCTCGCCCCGCCTCTCGCTCCTCGGCGCCCCTCTCGCGTGGTGGCGCCTGCAAGCGAGGCGCTCCTCTGCGTCACGTCGTGGCGCAGATTCGCCGTTTTGATATTGGTTGTGTATCATCTGGCGCGTAACGGTCATTACCCAGGCCAACCCCCTCGCCCCGGGTAACGGTAATGATCGCACGTGCGATCACAAAGCTCCCGTCTTTCCGGCTTCTAGTGGCCCTCATCGGGCTTCGGGACCGTTAAAACAACGATTTCGGTTGAAAAGCTGGTCCTCGGAAATGGGGGCAGCCCTGGGGTCCATGTCATGGAAAATGCATGACGTCGGGGGTTCAAATGGTGCTTGCATGTCGGATGTGTTATTTCCCCCGTGTGCAGGCGCTCGGCCGCTTTCGAGCAACGGTTGGGCGCAACTGCTGGCTCTTGGGCCGTGCGCCCTCGACGCCGCGCGGCGGCTTGTCCGCAACAGAACCGCATCTAAACGCTTTCCTCGGTCCGCGCCTGGCGCCCCAGGCGGGCGAGACCGACTGCGGCCGCGGGCCTCAGCGTGGAGGAGGCGCGGCGGCCGTTGAGGGAGCTCTTGGACCAGGCAGTGGCCGAGGAGCCAGTGCAGAAGCGGTTGAGGGCGCTCCATGGCTGCCCTGAGCCCCGAGCGGGCCGTGCTGGAGGACGCGGTGGCGGACCTCGTGGTGGCGGCCAGCCGAGGAACGCTCAGGGCCTCGCCGCCTCCGTGGGCCCATGCGATGGCGGGGACCCGCTTCGCGCGGAGATGCCGCGCGGCAGCAGAGGAGAGCCGTCGCGGGCTGCAGGCGCAGGAGTGGGCTCGAGGAGATGGGAGCGCCCTCGCTGAAGATGGCACGGCCCGGCATGGATTCGGAGCGGGAAGGGGCGGCGTCACGGGTCGCGCGCACATCGACACAGTTGCGTCGCACGTGCGGGCCACGGAGACGATGCGGAAGTGGTTGGTGCGCGCACGGTGCCCCGTGGCCCGTGACGATCGTGCCTACATCAACTACGTGCGCGCCAGGGACGGCGAACCGTGCGGGCAGACGGTGCCCAACCAGCCTCTGCGCGCCATGGTGTGGACGGAGCGCGTGGCGGGCGCGGACCAGAACGACAGACTCATCTCGGCACGGGGCCCAGCAGGTCGTCGCGAACGCGGAGATGCCCCTCCGCGTTGGCAGCGCGTTCGCTGGGGTTTTGGAGCAGCTTCTCATCGACGAAGACCTCGCGAGGTACATGCGCGGGCTGGCGTGGCCCCGCCTCGTCAAAATGTTGGCGGTGCTGCGCTACGACGACCACAGCATGCTTCCGCCACGGCGCCTCGCCATCGTGGACGGGAAGCTGATTGCCACGCTGAGGCGCACGAGGACTAGCAGAGCTGGGCGCACGATGCCAGAATTGCCGCTCGTGGTATCCCGCGCATGCTACGTGCTGGCCCAGCGTGGGCACAGACCGGTTTCGACACGTGGAAGGAAATCGCGGACTCCCAGAGAAGATAGTTCATGCCGCGGCGCGGCGAGGCAATGCAGGACGTGGTTCGCAAGCCCGCCGGGTACGCAGAGGCGGCGGCAGCCTGCCAGGAGGTGCTCCAGAGGATGCTGAAACCAGCGGCCTATACGGGCGTTCGTATCCGATAATTCTATGTCGCGCGCGTGGATTCGACGAAACGATGACCTTCAAGGTTCGTAATTTTTGTAAGTCGCCCTCCTACTCGAATAGTATTAGTCTGTCCTTGTGGAAGACTGAAGACTAGCCAAAGAGTGGCCCGGGGGTCAAGGGCGCGTGGCGCGTTGCCCTCCGGGCCGTTCTCGTTTATGCCATTCCAGGCGCGCACCGTCATGGTTTCCTCGTGGTGTGCACGTGGGCAAGATCACCACCTCGTCCTCGAGTTCCTGGACGTCCCGGCGTCTGGAGAAAGACCGGGACGGCTGGTTCCCCTGGTGGACCGAGGCCCGTGCCGGGCGCCAGGGCCGGGTAGCAGGCGCCGTCCGCTGCACATCTGAGCCCCCCAGATGGGGTCCGAGCAGGTGGGGTCGGGGGCCTCGCGCCGCATCGCTGATAAATCGCCGATGCGTCGCCGACGCAGCTCGATGTGGAACCCGATGTTCTCCACGCCGTCGCCGCCGACGCATCGTCGCCGTATCGGCGATGCGGCGCGATCTTCCGACGCCATCTACTCGTACCCCATCCAGGAGACTTGTACAGACAGGATGTGCCAGGTATGGGCTCGAGCAATTTCCCCCGAGCCCACCTCGAACCTTCCCTTCCTTCTCCTTCTACTCCTCCTGCTTCTCCTTTTCCTATTCATCCTTTTGGAGCCCATCCTCGAGTCCCTCCTTCAGCCCTCTCACCCCCCCTCCTCGATCACACCCTCCGCCCCCCCCCGGCGCCCTGGGGATCCCGGCGGCCGAGAAGACCCGCACTGCGGATGGGGGCTCTTCTCGAGCGCCGTCTTTCTCTTCTCTCCTCGACCAGCTCCTCGAGCGCGCGTGCTTCCGTCTCTCCCGAGCGCCTCCCAGAGCCCCTCGTCGAACACTGTGCAAGGAGCCGCGCGCGCGGGGGCACGGCGCCCGGGCAGCGCGGCGGCCACCCGGCGGCGGGGGATGCGAAACAGCGGCGCCTCGCGCCGTCGTCCGTCGACGTCGTCGTGGCCGTCGTCTTCCAGCGCCCGTTTTCGTCGGTCGCCCGTCGTCCACTGCCATGGTCGGCGGCCTCCTTCGTCGTCGCTCTCGTCCTCGTCCTCCTCTTCTCTTCCTCTCCTGCTCCTCCTCCTTCGCCTCCTCCTCCTCGCGCCCCTGCGGCCATCTCGGCTGCCCAGTTAGGCCTTTGCCCACGTGCTGGTCCGCCACCGCCGCCGCCCTTCCTTCCCGCTCCTCCCCTCGACAGCCGCCCCGTCCGACTGATTGTTGCTCCCCTTTCTCAGGAGAGGAAAAAACACACAGACACAATTCATCCTCGATTCCCCAGAAAATATCGGAAAATACGGCAAGTGGGGGGGAAGACGGAAACCCAGAAAATACGGGAGCATATGGGGAATCTTCTTATTTGTGTGTATTTATTTGTGTGTCCCAGGGCCCCTTCAGAGGAGAGGCCCGCCCCCTCCTCCGCGCACAGGCTTGTAGACAGGCTTTCGGCCGTTGCTCGTTCCTTCGCTTTTTGTCCCCAGGAGCGACTTCGGTGCCTCAAGGGCCTCTTTCGTTCCAAGATCTGGGCGATGACGGCCGTGGTCGGCCCTCTCCCTCCCCCACCCCCGGATCACGTCACGCTAGCATGCCCGCTCTCGCAACGATGGCCTACGGACTCTTCGAGGACTGTCCGAGATCTCCGGCGGCCCTCCCGCCGTGATGCGATCGGGGGGGGGGGAACGCCGCTCCCCCCTCCCCCGATCACGCCCGTGACCGCGAACCATACATGCAGGAACCAAGATGGTGCTATGGCTGCAGCGGCGGCCCCACTGTAGGATCGGCGCCTTATTGCTCCCGTCGCTCAGAGCGGCGCTCTCGGCCGGGCGCGGGCCGCTGTGGTTTCTGGATCCGAGTCTTTCCTTATCGTCGTCGCCCGCCTCGTTTCCCCTCTTCCGCCTCCCCTGGTCCTCCCGCTCCTTGTGCTCCAGCTCCGGCTTCTACTGTTCGTCTCGTCTCCACTCTTCATCCTCCTCCTTTTCCTCCTGCTCAGCCTCCCCATCATCCACTACAGGTCCGCTGTGACACTCGTCGGCGGACAGATCAGAAAGCAGCCCAATGAGAAGGATGGGTGGGAGGGTTCAAATGTCAGGTACGTCGCGAGCGCGCGTGGCTTGCCCCCTGTCCTCTCTCCCGAGAGTAGGTCATGGGCTCTACAGGCCCGGGTCCTGCCTGCCCGCGTCGATCGCCAATATGGCTGCCTGATTAGCGCCCTTGTCCGAGTGCCGTTGTCCTGGCTTGACGCCTCGCTCTCGGAGCCCCTCCCCGTCTT